TATACCCTGTATACCCTGTATACCCCTGTATACCCATGTATACCCCATGTATACCCTGTATGCCCTGTATACCCTGTATACCCTGTATACCCTGTATACCCATGTATGTATACCCCTGTATACCCTGTATACCCTGTATGCCCTGTATACCCACCCTGTATACCCTGTATGTGTATACCCTGTATACCCTGTATACCCTGTATACCCTGTATGCCCATGTATACCCTGTATGCCCTGTATACCCTGTATGCCCTATACCCTGTATACCCTGTATGCCCTGTATACCCATGTATACCCATGTATACCCTGTATACCCTGTATACCCTGTATGTATACCCATGTACCCCAGTATACCCTGTATACCCTGTATACCCATGTATACCCATGTATCCCTGTATACCCTGTATGTATACCCTGTATACCCTGTATACCCTGTATACCCCCAGTATACCCTGTATACCCTGTATACCCTGTATACCCTGTATACCCATGTATACCATGTATACCCTGTATACCCTGTATACCCATGTATACCCTGTATACCCTGTATACCCATGTATACCCTGTATACCCATGTATACCCTGTATACCCTGTATATCCTGTATACCCATATGCCCCATGTATACCCTGTATACCCTGTATGCCCTGTATACCCTGTATACCCATGTATACCCATGTATACCCTGTATACCCTGTATACCCTGTATACCCATGTATACCCTGTATACCCTGTATACCCATGTATACCCTGTATACCCTGTATACCCTGTATACCCCATGTATGCCCTGTATACCCTGTATACCCTGTATACCCATGTATACCCTGTATACCCTGTATGCCATGTATACCCTGTATACCCTGTATACCCTGTATACCCTTGTATACCCTGTATACCCAGTATACCCTATGCCCTGTATACCCTGTATACCCTGTATACCCCCAGTATATCCTGTATACCCTGTATACCATGTATACCTTGTATACTGTATACCCTGTATACCCTGTATACCCTGTATACCCTGTATACCCTGTATACCCTGTATACCCATGTATACCCTGTATACCCTGTATACCCTGTACCCATGTATACCCTGTATACCCATGTATACCCTGTATACCTGTATACCCATGTATACCCTGTATGCCCATGTATACCCTGTATACCCTGTATACCTTGTATACCTTGTATACCTGTATACCCTGTATACCCTGTATACCCTGTATACCCTGTATACCCATGTGCTCCCCAGTATACCCTGTATACCCTGTATACCCTGTATACCCCTGTATACCCTGTATACCCTGTATACATGTATACCCTGGATACCCATGTATACCCTGTATACCCTGTATACCCATGTATACCCTGTATACCCATGTATACCTTGTATACCCTGGATACCCATGTATACCCCTGTATACTCATGTATACCCTGTATACCCATGTATACCCTTTATACCCTGTATACTCATGTAACATGACAAGACCAAAAAAGATGAATTAGCGTGTCTGAGGAATTGTTGCAAAAGGCATATATGTCATTTTCTTTTCGTCCTTTTTAAGTCAGAAATCATTGGTTGGTATGCGCCTATGTGATAGTATAAATGGGAACTCAGTTTGGTGCTACTTTGCGCCATAAAATAGGCAAGTTCTTAGTTATATGTTCCTTCTTCGTCTGAGTAGTTACAGTCTTGAAGTCATTTTAGTTGGCTTTTACGTGCGGTTAAACTATTGGCTCTGGTCAGCTTTTGGTAAATTAATGGACCTAGCTTTTCTCTTTTAACAATTCAGTTTTCACTCGGTGTTTCAGAGTTATAGTCTTTTGTCTCAGCAGTATCGGTAACATTTTTGCGAATTCGTTGAACAGCTGATAGTAAACCGTAAAAACTGAGCGGGCGTACTCTTAAATCATGTTTGGAGGCAAAATCTTTGAGAGTCAGAAAATTATCGTTTCCCGTTTGGACGTGCTTAACTTTGGAGATACTTATTTCAAACCACTCTTTAAAAAAGAAATTTTTCATTATCTATCCTTATCAAAGAGTTGAACCACAGAACCTGTTCTTGACAAGCGATATCAGAACTTACTTTATCCACAAAGTTTATTTCTTTCCAATATTCCAATTTTTCTTTAGTTACGGGGTCCGTTGCCCTAATCTCTTTCATAGTGTCAGAGACGTTGAGTCTCAACGGTTGAGATTACCACGGAAAATGAGATTGCGGCCGTAGTTCTCCAGTTATAGATCAAAGATAACGTTCCATTTTCCGTTTTAAGTAGCGTCCAAGTACTTTTTAACCCATGTTGTTTTAAGACATTTGTTGAAAGGATAAAGTTCAATCATCTTCAGACCTCCATACTCAGGTTCATTGATCATAACTTTTCTCTTGATTTTGTCACCTTCACCATTCCATAGAAAATGGTAAAACATGTCATTTATTTCCTTTGTAGCGTAATGATTTGAGCGTAAAAGGGAAGAGCAAGTATACCAGTTGTGATGCGGTCAGTGAGATAAGGACAGTAATTTTCCCTAACAACGTGAGCCTGCAATATTTCCAGCAACTCAAAAGCTTCCTAATGTTTTCAGTTTTTTCGTTGTAATTCAACGTCAAAGCCATGTCCGGATCGGTTGACAGCCACAGACCAAGTGTTTGACTTTATATTTTGGCCATTTAAACTTCTTTCCTGAAACAAGGATTTGTTCATGTGCTGTCTTAGAACCGATCCAAAGGGCTTCCGTTGTGCTATCGTTTAACTTGAGGCCGGAGATCTGACAAAAATCATCTAAACTTTGTATTGCTGGTATAAGGGATTTCTCTCAACCGTCTAACACAAGAGTGGTATCATCAGCGTGTTGGCTTATCTTAACTTCGTCATTACCCAGAGAAAAACCTGTTATGCCCTTGTTGTTTCGGACGGTCTTGGCCAAGATCTCCACAGCAAGAATAAACTAATATGGGGAAAGGGGACAGGCTTGCCTAACTCCCCTTTGAGTCCGAAAGAAATTGCTTGAATGAGCTCATTCAACCATTGCTGAGTACACAGTTTTCGCATTTTTGATTAAGGACAGCCTTTATCCTCATCAGATGAAACTTTTAATTACTTATTATTTTAATTACTCATTATTTCGTCCGGCGTTACATTATTGGCTAAGGCAATGTAAATTCCGAAGTAGGCTAAACTGATAAACAATTAGGTAATACACAATAACTCCATCGCTCAATTTATTGTGATTTACCAAGGCCACCGACTTTAGATGTTTACTGCATAATATCAACTTCTTATAACTCTTAAAATTTCTGCGCAGGGGTGGTTTGGACATCAAAAGAGGAAACAGGGTTTGACTTTGAAGGATGCAAATTACATAAAACATATATAACTTACATAGACCTCAAAACAGTATAGTACTCTGCAAAGGGAGGTATTGGTTTAGTTACAGGAAAGGTGTGAACATTAACTTATACAAATATTACAACGTAACATTTCCCAGGTTCGCGTTCAAAACATAAATAAAACTTTACAGCGAATTTAACAACTATGAGTTTAGAATCTCTTGGGAATCTCATATAGATCTGGTGAGAGTAAGCACACTATATTGATATTCTTTGCATAAAATTATACGGTTCTCATTATCGATCATATGGTGTTTTCTTACTATTACGTCCATGCACGGTACAGAGCCACATACTATCTAGTATCTAACGTTTCCTTAGCTTATCATACTTTCTTTTTTCATCGTAAAGCACCCGTAAGGAATGGTGAAATATGGGAAGAACCATTAGAAAAGCGAAACTATTTACGACTTTGACTATTTTGCTAAACATGTCACAAAAATGACTGTAGTCATTTTTGATATCATTCTTTGAGTTGACATGCTGGATAATAGCATGCATGACAAAGAACTCGAGCTCATTCAATCCAGGATCTTTGATTTTCTCGTCATTTTCTTCCAGTGAAAGTCTTGATCGCTTCGCTTTCACGGTATGCCTGTATTTTTTACTTCGCTTTCTCGGTGTTCTACATTTTTTGTCTCGAGGAAGCCTTTGGTTTCCCCCACATTGTTTGCCTTGGCACCATCCACAACAACTGCATGCGCTCATAAGGTACCGTATTCGTTGATGCACTTGCACCTGCCTTTGTAGTTCCTTGACGCTTTTGCTTCTGATTTGTATTTATTTTTTTCTCCGCATCGACATGGTTTTCTTGGAGTTGAGATTGGCACTTTCTCCGTGGAAAGCGTGGACTGACTCTCGAGAGCATCGAGATTGCTGTTTGTTTCAGAAGTGAATCGCTCCTGCTGATCACGTTGGGAGATAATTAGCGCATCATAGTGTCCTGGACCACTTGCATTATACGCGAGATAGACGACGTTTGAGGCTTGCACCATCCCTTCAGGAGAAATCATCACAAAAGGAGTCAAAAAACTTGGATTTAAGACAAATAAAGCTTTGAATAACGTTTGCGATTGCTAGAGGTATAAGATCGCCTAGCGGACCTGAAAACGTTCCCGATTGGATAAAACGATCTGCCTCCGAAAAAAAGTTTACATCACTGGGCAGAAATGACTGATAAAAATCTACTCGTTCTCCCTTCAATTCTTGGACGACTTTACTCCTGAGAATGTTACCAATATCGTTGATGGATGTAGATGTGTCTATTCCCATCTGTTCCGCAAGGTGCGACATTAACAATGATTCATTATGTGCATTCAAGCTCATCATTTGTTGCAATTGCATTGCGACTGCCGTAAAAAGGCAATTGCCGTCACCCGTTACCTCAACAATGTCAAATCCCCAAGTCGAGGCTAGTTCAGTAAGCCTTTTTCTGTCACTTTTTGTTGGGTCTCCAGCTACTGTTTCATTTTCCATTAATGCCTTTGTTTTTAACGGTCTAACATAAGTCACTATCTTCTTGAAATTGAATAGTTTTGGCCCCGTTTTTCCTCAACGATCTTGCTCATTTTCCACCACTGTAAAGCGTTTCTAAGAATGACAAAGTTTTCGACATTCGCCTTTAAACTGTTCTCCACGTTTTCACCATCACTACACGTAGAACTCTCGTCATTGCTATCGACTAATGATTTAAGACTGGTTTGTATGTGAGAAATATTCTCTATAGATGTTGTTTTCAAATTTATTTTTTTTTATCCTCTGTAGCATTTGTCATCACATGGAAATTTATTTCGTGAACTTTGTTATTGGTTTCGTCAAGGGCTCTGCTCGATTGCGGTACTCCTGTTAACAGAATCTTCTTTCTACTGTTTATGAGCATGTCACCTATAGATGGTAAGTTTGCATCGCGTTTCCTGTTTGAGTTAAAAAGGGTCCTTTCAACGCGAGTTCTTGCAATAAATTTCTGTCTGTTTTAGGAGCTTGATGATATCTTGTTAGTAAATGCAGTAAAAGGTGAGAATAGAGTTATGACATTATTAATTTACATAATACTACGAAAAGCTTCATTTGTAGGTTCCAGTCACTCAATTATTACGGTGACATTTATGTTATTTGCTTCCACGATATTTTAATCACCGTGTTTGTTACTTTAATTTAAATTTCTTCAATCTTTTCTTCCTTTTTTTCTCTTTATCCACCCTTCCTTAGTTCTTTTGTATCATTTTTTCCTGTAGAAGCAGAAACCATGGACAAACAAAACAAACCAACTGGCTCTAAAAAAAAACAAGAAGAGGTATAAAAGCTTCAGAAGCTTATTGAATAGAAAATAGTGCATAATAGTGAATGGTGACACTTTAGTTAAAAAAATATATATATAATTGTCTGCAGGCCAAAACTGTTTAAGTGCGATAGTGCTTGGCACTAGTCCCGCGTGTCTTACATGGCTTGATTTTAAAATTAATGTTTTTTCATCGTAACTTGGTTAAGTTTTCCATGTAGGGGTATATCTAACCCAGATTGTATCGTCTCGTTAATACAGGAAATATACTGGATAGCCTAAAGGACTCGCTTACTGAAAAAGAGCTGAATCTGCCTGCCAAACGATCAAGGAAGAACACCTCTAAGGTAATTTGCTGAGAGAGAATTACGATCTAAGTTTGGAATCGTATTACTGCTTACGAAAAGATGGATGTTTTTCAGAAAGAAAACATTTATGACCATATAAATGGATGAGATGTCATGAACAGTGGCCAGTAGGCAGACATAACATTTCGTAAAGTAGAAGTAGAGGAAGTTAAACAGAATCAATTTGCATTTTGATAAGTAAACAGTCACAAAAAATAGACTATTTCAATATTGGTTTCTCTGCAACCAAACATAGTAATACGCTCAAGTATACAATTACAGATGTTTCTGAGGAAATGGCCATTTTTGTTATCTTTTCAGTGATTGGAAATTTCACCTGAGGTGCGGAAGGGAAGCCAACGCCATTCATCAGGATGACTATGTCGCCATTGCACCTTGCAGAACTCTGGAACTAAATACAACACAAATCCAGCTGTTATTACGAAGAATTTCTTATTTTCTTGAATATAGACATACATACAGAAAACATTTCTTTATCTGCATGTTTGATACTTTAAGCAAAATTATTTCTGGCTTCCGGACACAGAAGTCCTCCGCGACATTTGTAAGCTTCAATGTTCTGTTGCTGTAATTGGTGTTACTAGAGGCCATTTCCTTCCTTCAAAATGTTATCAAGCGGTAATGGACATGAATGTGACATAACGATATTAAGATCCTTTTCCAAAGAAAACAATGATAGAAAGGGAATTCTGTAGTAGCTACGAAACGCATTTTTTAATTGTCACATTAAACCTCGTGGAAAATACCGAAATGTGATGTTAGTTAAACGAGTTACGTCATAACATTACAAGTAGTTTTTGTGACATAAAAAATTACCTTTAAAAAAAAAGGAAACCATAAAATTCCAGTTTGATAGGCTGACAAACACTAAGGAGGAAAAAATAAGCCAGAAAGATACCGAGGATGGTCAAGGATAGAGAAGATTAACGTGGATTGCAAATGACGAACTTGAAAAACATTGCCGATAAGTTATTCAATACGCACAAACGATGACGTAGCTCCTTTAAATGACTAATAAAAGTTCGCGTTATATTAACCAGAGTTTTTAATGTAGGGTAGTCTATGTTGCCTCCACTGAGTAGACATAATTTTGTATTGCATTAATTCGACATTCCACTCCGACATTTTGTTATATCATAACTCATTTCGGGATACAATGATTCGCAAATGTATTTAAATTGTAACAAAATAATAAAAATGTCAACCATCGATATCGTTAAATTATTCACTTAATTTCTTCTTTTGTTCCTCTATAACAGCGTAGTTAATTAAAGTGGAATGGTTGGGAAACCCTTTGCTATAGGTTTTTGTTGGCTTTTTTGGACCTGACCGTGCACAACGTTCAATAGCATTCCTATCATTTGGAAGTTTTTGACCAATAGAAACATTGCATGAATTTCTTCATTGATAATTTGTGAAAAGAAAACAAAGGATTGTGCACGGTCAGGGTGCTTCCAACATAACCTACAGCACCATTGTTTTCAACTTTGATGTTTGCCGGGTTTCCTAATTAGTCTCCTCTACTAACTATGATAAGAGTACGTACACACTGACCAGTTTGTCCTCGCGTATCCTTTGCGGGTTACATATAGCCTCTCTTACGTGGCCTAGAGTGTATGGAATGGGGTAGTTTGACGAGGAGTATGCCAATTTCTGGGCGAATTGTGTTATCACTCTTTTCTTTACCTTTCTGGGTTTTTGTTCCCAACTAATACAACTGTTACTGCTATGAAAAATCAAAAAGAATTCCCCTGGGAAGGGCACAAGTTGACAGATAAACCGAGGTTAACCATCCGAGCTAACATATCACTCTTCACTGCTGTCCACATATTTCATCTGATTCTCAGGATTGGAGAAATCTGTTTAAATATCTAGACAATTTTTCTACGGGACAGATCGTTAAAGTGGGTTCAAAGTAGGACGTACGGTTGTCAGTTAAGCTTCCAGTATTCTTGATAGTCGGTTCAGCTCAAGGGTGGAAATTCAAGTGACTAAGTGTTTACAAGCACTGCAGCTCTCAGCTGAGCTCTATTTAGTGCAGACGATAGAGAGAATGTTCCCACAGACAAATACCGTCGTTTAGGCGAAAAGTAGGCGCTTTGCAGCTGCACCGAACCCCAAAAATAAAAGAATGTGGAATTAAGTACGGTTTCTTTGTTCGTGCAAAAATTTGAGAAATTGAAAAGTCCTGAAGAGTTGAATACAATACAAGATTCCGAACAAGATGCAACTCGCTAGGTTGAAAATTTATGCCAAACTACAGTTTGAAATTCTAGTTTACTGAAGGTTGAGGAAATAAGAAAAGTTTGGCTCAGGAAGTAGAATTGAATATGAAGAGCCTTTTAGTCTTAAAAACTTGGTAACACAGCAAACGAGGGTTTTGAAACTATTCGTCATTCAATTTTAGGCTAAAAGGTGTGGTGGTCGTCAGCCTCCTTAATGAAATAGTTCGTTGAGGATAAAACATTATGAAGTACGTTGAAATGTTAGTAAAACGTAAATATATACAAATCGATGATGAAATGCTAACTATTAGATCGATGTTGTTTAATGATCTTATTCATTTAAAATACTACTGAACCAAAACAACAATAAAACGACAAATAGATAAATATCCCTAAAATTAAATCCCAACATATTCTTCGACAATTTCACCCTGGCGATCATTTCTCTAATTAAAATAAATTTTCTAGACACATGAGTAGAATTAAATAAAATGATATGATAGCAATAATTAAAGGGCTACGAATTCTACCTTATCAAATGACCCTCTATTGTCATCATCTGTCAATTTAATGACTGACGTCGCTGTGATATCGCATTTATAGGATATTGCTCTTGAAAATGGAAAGATAAAGGAAATACAAAGAATACAACAACAACAACAAGTTTATTTAGTATTACTATATATTTTTTAACATGGTGTTACCTGTACACTGAAATACAATAATATCAAGACGAAGATTGCAAAGGAGTTACAGATGTAATAGAATGGGATAATTTATCGATTATTATTATCATTATTCTTCTTTCGTCTCTCAAATACTTGGAAGACGAAGGTAGCAGTAAGCTTGCGCATGTACGAATCAGTATTAATATTAAAAAGAAAACAGATTTTATCATTAGTATTTTAATTTGTAAATAACGTATTTCGTCATTCATTTTAGTGAAAAGAGACTTTTTAAGGACCAATGAAATAATAAGTGTGTTTAATTTTCAACAATTTAGACTGCAGTGATCACAAATTCTTAGGTCTTCGGGAGTTTTACGGATTCTAAATCTTTCAGATTTGTGATTTCCTATCTTAAATTTGAAGGCGATGCGTTTATGTTCAGGCTTCCTGATATGCTAAATGAATTCAGAGTACTTTTTTTTCGTTTGTATAGGTGGAGTAGAAGTTTAGTTTTTTTGTTTGCACTTATCAGATTGACTTGGTGGTTTTTAAAATGTACTGACAAACTGTAGGAAAGCAGAAGGGTTTTTTTTTAAAGTAACTGATTTATTTTCAATATTAAATTGTTTACATAAAAGATTTATTTTGTATATCAAACATGATTTTTTTTTTACTAAAGGGTAGACAGGCTATACCAGGCACACAGGGTATACAGTGTATACATGGATATACAGGGAGTACATAAGTATACATGGGTATACAAGGAATGCAGGGTATACAAGGTATACAGGGTATACAGGGTATACAGGGTATACAGGGTATACAGGGTATACAGGGTATAGGGTATACAGGGTATACAGGGTATACAGGGTATACAGGGTATACAAGGGGTATACATGAATATACAGGGTATACAGGATCTACAGGGGGTATACAGGGTATACATCAGGTATACAGGGTATACATGGATACAGGGTATACAGGGTATACATGGGGTACAGGGTATACATGGGTATACAGGGTATACAGGGTATACAATACAGGGTATACATAGGGTATACATATACAGGT